TGGTGTTTGTGCTGCCCCCTAAGGGTTCAAAAATGCTACTGAGTAAACTTGATTTGGTCAGTCCAGTCTTGATCAAAATGCTCATAGTTTAATTACTATTATTTTTTATTGTTAGTTCCAGTCTTGGAAAGGCATTCGCCTTTGCTAATAATGAAGAAGGAGTATACCATGGTCTATTTGATGTCTCAATGTCCATACTATTTGATCTGTCCAGAAATCTGTCCTGTGAATAAGAAATGTAAACAAGAGATTACACTCAAAAATAATCTCTTGTTATTTGCGGTAACACAAAAGTCAGAATGAGCTGGTGGTTCATGACTGTAATCCTAGCTACTCAGGAGACTGAGATGTAAGCATTTCTGTTTGAAGCCAGCTCAGGCAGAAAAGTCCATGAGACTCTTATCTTCAGTAAACTACTCAGAAAAAGTCCAAAGTGGTACTGTGGCTCAAGTGGTAGAGCACTAGCCTTGAGTACAAAGAGTCTCAGGAACAGTACCCAGGTCTGAATTCAAGCCCCACGACTGGCAAAAAAAAAAAAAAAAAAAGATGTTATAATGAAGTTCATTGTCCAACAACGTATGGTACATATATGGTATTTGCCTTAAAAATAATGCTCGTGAAGCATCATACCACATGAAGTTTAAGTAGCAAGACACAGTTCCATGAGTATTACACAATGTCAACTAAATATTCATGGAAATAAGCTGGGAAGTAATACAGCCAACACATCATTTGGTTTCCTATGAATAGTGAAAGTAGGTATGCGTGTGTATATATGTACCTGCTCATATTCATTTAATGGGCAGATCCCACTTTTGTTTAGAACTGTAGTGGGTGACCATAACTTTTTGAATAAATTTTGATGTTCAAAAATATTTTTCTGAGATATTTGTGTGTTTGTGTGCGGGGGTGGGTGAGTGTACTGGGGATTGAACTCAGGGCCTGGATACTGTCCCTTAGCTTTTTCATTCAAGGCTGGTCCTCTACCACTTAAGCCACAGCTCCACTTCCAGATTTTTTTGGTTATTAATTGGAGATCAGTCTCATGGACTTTCCTGCCTAAGCTGCTTTGAACTGCAATCCTCAGATCTCATGATTACAGGAATGATGAGCCACTGGGTGCCTAACTTCAAATTAGGCTAGTTTTATACATTCATACTTTTTCCTGTGAGCATATCATACATTTAAAATCAAGAACAAAAGCATAAAGCTTATTTCTGCAGGGTACAAGAGCAAGGCTTTAGAATCAAATTTCTTAGATTTTTGTCCCAACTCTGTGTCCTTGGGAAAAGTGACTCAAGCTCTATTGACATGCTCCCTTAATAGTAAGTGGAGGTAAAAATAGTGCCTGCCTCTTAGAGATATTGTGAAGATCACATATCCATCACATATAAGTGCTACTTTTAGGTGGTTTTGGTAAGTGATAGGAGCCACTCCAAAGTGGCTCATCACTTCCTAGAAGCACATCTCATATGAAATCTTCCACCAACACTGGCTAAGCTTTTATTAGTGACCAATAATAATGTGGCTTCTGTTTAGTGAAATCCATGCTTGCTTCCTTTTTTAACTGTTTAGACCTACCTCCATCTTTTATGAAAAGGTCCCCAATGTAGTTGAAGCCACATTTTTGACAAGTATATGGGTCCTGACAGACAGCTTCCAGTAACAAAGAAAGTCTCCAATTAACTACATTAATGACAGGCAAGGGTCATAATTTCTTGTATACCTTTTATACTGGGTGAAGACATCAATAATAAATCATTTAAGCCAATCCACAAGTCAGGAATGCCTCTTTCAAGGATTCATCAACATGCTAATTATTTCCACAGTGAAAACCTGTTTCTGACATTGAGTTTTCTAATTAGGAAAACACTTAGTGTTTAGATGTTTTGTTGTTGTTGTTTCTCCCCTCCCTCAAAGGAGTGGCATCTGGAACACTCCAAACAGGCTCTTTGGAATGAGGCTTTTCTGATGCAGAGTGGGCTAACCACCACTGTTTAGAATGGAATGAAAACATCAGATGATCTGCATATGTACTCACAGTCTCTGCTGAAGTGCCCCAGAGTAATTACACATGAAGTACTTGTAAAGCAAGAAAGACAGTCTTTTGCCAGGTAAGTACTTAGTAACTATGTGCTTACTAAATCTGATGCAAAAAATGCTAATAAGCTCAGTATTTTTTATTTTTTTAATGTTCCAGTACTGGGGCTTGACCTCAGGACCTGAGTGCTGTGCCTTAGCTGTTTTACTCAAAGGATGGTGTTCTACCATTTGAGCCATACCTCCACTTCTGACTTTTTTTGGTGGGTAACTGGAGAGAGGAGTCTCATGAGTTGTCTTGCCCTGAGCTGGTTTAGAACTGTGATCCTCATATCTCAGCCTACTGACTAGCTACAAGCCACCAGGGCTTGGCAAAGCTCTGTATTTTGAATTTTATACTTCCATATGCATTACTTTGCAGATTTTTGAACTATAGTCTTCTTCCTGCCTCTTTTTCTTTTTCCTCTCCCTTTTTCTTCCTCCTCTCCCTTTTTCCCTCCTCCCACTTCTTGAGAGCTTGATTGAAGGTCTTAGCAAGGAAAAATAACTACCCTTGAGCAAAGAACAATCTCTTCCTCTTCCTCTTTCAGGGACTGGGGAGCTTAGGGAGGGATGAACATAAAGCCACATGGAGTAGTGAGGGAAGAAGAATGAGACCAGTCCAGCCAGTGATACAGGCCAAGTCAATGGGGTGACAGATGTGGCAGCCAGATTGCCCTCACAGCTCCTTCTTCCTTTTCTACTTTCTCCTTCCTTCTTTCTTTCTTTCCTCTTTAAACACTTGAAACACTTCTGAGATTCACATTAACAAGGACTTATGAATCAAGTCATGCAGGCCAATCATAACTTGGCCTTGAAGAACTATTTGAGCTCTTCACCCAGTGGCCATTGAAATCCTGAGTCTTACAAGCTGTATCGTGAGTCTTAGTCATGGGCAGACAGTTGCTGTAAGACTCTCAGCATGCAGTCCCTGACACATAACTGGTATTTCTCTTTTTTTAAGCATTTCATTTTTTAATAATCCTTGATAATTGATGTGTTGAATAAAATTTAAACTGCAGTCAGATTTGTCTGGTCTTCCATTAAAAAGCAGCTATAGGATGGTATGATATATTTGATTATAAAGGAAACTTTCAACATTATATAGTCCTACAGTCATTAAAATAAAATAGCAGTGTTAATCTCTTAACATTTCTTGAAAGGGAAGCAAAAGCAGAGCCATTTTTTACCTGTCAGAGTTCAGTTTAGATGCTTTCATTTTAAATCAATAGCAAGGATATTCAAAACAATCACACATTAACCTTTCCCTGATACAGAGAAATGAGCTAGGTCAGAACTATTATCCCCAAGACAAAAATAGCTTCCCATTCATCTCTTCCCCCTCACCCTGACTATTTCCTTTACTTTCTCCTCAATGTTTCTCCCATGGCCTGGCACAACCTGATCCACTCCATGTCTGTCTACCTTCTGTCGGTGCTTTCTTAACAGTGGATCTGTTACGTTGGCCTCCAATCTTAGTCACCAAACACAAGGTCTCGCCTCAACCTCAGTCACCAAATACAGGTCTCAGACATACATTAATAGCCCCTATCCAAACAGCACATATACTTGATTTCTTTTCTAAAATGGGAAGCAAACAATTCTGTTGACCTCTTAACAGTATTCTAGCAATTGCAGTACAATCATTTTCTTTCTTTTTTTTTGGGGGGGGGGTCCGGTTGTGGGGCCTGAACTCTGGGCCTGGGCGCTGTCCCTCAGCTCTTCAGCTCAAGGCTAGCGCTCTACCACTTGAGCCACAGCGCCACTTCTGGCTTTTTTCTTTTTGCTTATGTGGTGCTGAGGAATCGAACCCAGGGCCTCAGGCATGCAAGGCAAGCACCCTACCACTGAGCCACCTTCCCAGCCCCATGTACAATCATTTTCAAAGCACTATAGAATTTGAAGGATGAGCATGACTTATACAGAATATACAAAAATATTTCAGTTTAATCTAGTTCTAGACTCTCTTAACTTCCTTTAGTCTATGCTATTGTTTCTTCTATGTCAATCCAACAAAAAGAAAAAAGTAGGTATACAATCATTTTTAAAGAACATTTGTTGTGCATTATACCATTTGCTCCTAACCTGAGAGGAAGAATGTTCTACTATTTTGACCCTAATTCTATCTTGCTGAATATTGTATTGCTTACTGCAAAATTTACAAAGGGAATTATTTCAGTGATAAAGTGAGAGCCTTTTATAAAAACAAAAAGGATGTACCCATGACATCTAACAACCCAAGTCAAAGACATGTCAATAGTTCCATGTCCTTTCTTAGAAGAGTTCTCAACTTGGTCATTTTGCCACAGGTCTCTTTACAAAGTCTATTGCATATCTACATTAAACTACAATCGTATTGAAGTTTCATAACAGCTATCTAAAATTATCTTTATGACTACATATAATACACAAAAATAAAAAATAGGAACACAAATATGATTTTGGCTTTCAACTTGATAAATAAAATCTTATGCTATCTCAGGTCAACTTTATAATACAGAACAAGCTGTGCACCATTTACCATAGTGGGTAGAGGAAGTCATTACTTCTGTTCAAAAGACCCCGGAGTTATCCATGGTGTGTGTGTGTGTGTGTGTGTGTGTGTGTGTGTGTGTGTGTGTGTGTGTGTGTGTGCTGGTCCTTGGGCTTGAACTCAGGGGCTGGGCACTGTCTCTGAGCTTCTTTTGCTCATGGATAGCAATTTACCAGTTCAGCCACAGCTCCACTTCTGGCTTTTTGGTAGATAATTGGAGATAAGAGTTTAATGGACTTTCCTGCCAGGGCTGGCTTTGAACCTTGAACCATGATCCTCAGATCTCGGCCCGCTGAGTAGCTAGGATTAGAGGCATGAGCCACTGGTACCCATCAACCATCCCATTTTAAAGAGAGAAGTGACAAGGGGTGCAGGATGCTGTAAGGGAACTAAAAGTAATCCATGAGATAGCTTTGTTTTAGGCCATCAGAGGGAGAAAAGGGACCAGGCTACAATAAAACAAACAGAACACGTGAAATGTCTCTTTTATAATTTTAATCGATGCATTTCTACTCATTTTGAACTCTCTCATAAGCACCATAGTTAATGTCTAAGTCAATTTTGTAGGGAAGAACTCCCCTTCAGAACAAAAACAAAGATGTTCATTCCTCTAAATGTCCAAATTTAAAATCTGCCCAAACTAAACAACAAAAAGGCCGCACAGAAATAAAAAGTAACAAAAATCACATAGGGGGGTCAGTGCACATCTTAGTCTTTGCTGTGCTAATTGTCCTTCGGCTGACTTGCAAAAAATTAACATCCTAGCTCATTAAAATACACATTTTCCATTGATGTTTTTCAAGTCAAGGATAATTATTAAAAAGTGAAAACTTGAAGGAATTCACAATTAATTTACCTGGCTCACTTAGAGATCATATACAGAACATGGAGATCAGGAGGACTGTTTACAGTACATGTGATTAGGGAGGTTCATCTTCAAAATTTAGCTTTCTTCCAAACAGTGTAAAATACCCACAATTCCAAGTAGGAAGGGACACAGACGACCTCCTTGGAGAATTCCACAGGACAATACAGGCGCCCGAGCTGTTCTTCATAGAGTGACAGGGCTTCTGTCAGATTGACACAGTTCCCTTGCGTAAAGTACTTCCCATCCTGTTTCAGTACTCTCATTGACAGGTCAAGAATCAGTCTGAGAAACTCCCATGTGGAATCTTCTTCTGGAGATGTGGAGATCGGAACCGCTGTCAGGTCATTCATCACATAATCAAACTCTCTCCCTTCTTTGGCGTACCTCCTCAGTACGGGGATACAGTCCTCTATGAGAACCTGATGGCGCTCTCCTTTAAGATTGTCTAAAATGTTACCGCACGTTTTCTGCATGTGTTTCTTACATGCATCAATCACCATTTGGTCGATCTCTACCATGGTGACCATCCTTGGTTGCTGTTGGACTATCTCCCACAGTATGCCTCCATCTCCACCTCCCAGAATCAGTACATCTTTGCCCATGTAATCTTCCTTGCCACTTCCTGTGATGGCCTGGGTATAGGCAAAATCACTCTCTGCCAAGTTAACGTCCCCGCTAAGGATGAGAATATTTCCAAACTGCTTTGAGTGTAGAATCTTAATGTTCTGATACGGCGAATCTTCATCGTACACCACTTCATCTATGTCATACTCAACCAGGCGCCCATCAGCAGTGGGCCAGTATCTGTCAATGGCCCCTCCTCGAATTATGGCTGGTAATCGTTTCACCTGGACAGAGCTGCTCTGACTCAGTTCTTTCATTCTTTCTTCTACTTGGTTCAGAAGGCTGTCCATCTCGTCTTTGGCCTGTGCATTGCTGTCATAACTCTGAAGGTCCAGCAACACCAATCCATGTGGATAAATTCTCAAGTTGGCAAAGCTGCCATTTTTGTTGGTATAGGTTGCTAAATAGCCATGCTCCTGCCAGGTATGCACGGACTCTGCCATTCCCTGTGCCTGGAAAATGGGCAGGAGTCCTTTTAGGATAGTCTCACCATCAGTTTGGGTGCTGAGCATGAAGTCAAGCATGCTGTGCCGTGCTGCTGCTGCCGTAGTGGGAAGAGGCTCTGTGTCACGCCCGGGAGGGAGGGCTGGGGGAGACTGGGTGCCCATGACTGGAATGTAAAAGCACCTTGCAGATTGTTTTTCCTACTTTGCAGATTTTTAAAGACAAGACTACAGGGAAAAAAACAAAATGCTAGAATCACCCAATGTGAGAAGAGCTCATTTTGTTTTAAGAATTTATTCTTTTTCTATTCCTTTTTCTAAAGTGCAGCGGTGTTTGATGGAGGGGAAAGACTGGGGGGGGGGGAAGGGTCTTTAGTCAGAACTGAGAGAGGAAAGAGCAGCTGCTGCCCCTAAGGTTCCTAGTGGGGGAGAAGGGGCCCCCTTTACCACCCTACTGGAGGCCTCCCGCCCCTCAGGAATCTCATAAAGAGGCCTGCTGGGGTATTCGGAGAGCTCTCCATTCACTTTAAATCTTATCTAAGAAATTAAAGCAGAAAGTATTTGGCTCAGATAGCAAGGTTAATTGACATTCTTCTCATTCTGCAACATACAGATCAGATCAGAGGCAAAGAAGACCAGTCACATCTTACTGAAGCAGGTGGGGGACATTGAGCACTGACCAAAGCTCACCTGGGATTTCCTAAGCTACTTCTTTCTGCTGGCTGCCAGGCTTCTTCTGAGATAGTTCACTGTATAATAATACTCCTCTTTGTTTTCTGGGGAGGGAGCAGATTTTGTTTTTCCCTCCTGGAGTGCTCGTCCAGTCTCAGCTCTGTAATTCCAGCTTGCTGTTGACAGACAGAACCAACCTGTGTAATAAGAGAATGGTCATGATAATAACAGGAACTAACATTTATGGAGAACTCTCCACGGACTGGTACCAGGCTAAACACTTGGCATTCACAAATCAATACATGGCAAGTTCTTGCTGCCTGCCCACTGGAGGCTTCTGACTGCTCCCCAGATATCTGTCTCTATACAGTACCTCTGGGAACAATAATGGTTGTTTTGCTGAGAGGTGGGCAGGTAGATGGGGAAGTTACAAGGGAGAGCACACAGCAATGGCTTAAAAAGCTCCCATTAGCTGTCTTCTCTGAGCACCAGCCAACTTTCTGCTAGGTGGTGTGAGAAAAACTGTTTTCTATCAAAGTGTGTTGCTTAAAAGTTCCTTCTTTGGCCTGGTGACTTGGCTCTTGTTGAGGAACTTCCTTTGGGATAAGGAAGGGGTTTTGAAATGTAGGGCTTTTGTCTTAAACTGGTTTCTTTTCAAGATGGAATGAAGACACAACTCAGATTGTCCAAGAAATCTCAGAGGGTGCAGGTATATTTTGATATTACTCATGTACTGGTAATTTTATTGCAAAGTCACCTTTCAAACTAGCCAATCAGATTGTGAACCTGAGCTCAGCCAATCTGAGCAGAGAGGTGGGGTATGCTACATTAGGAATAAATAGGAGAGCAGCCTGCCTGCTCTGTGTGCCTGCTTGCCACATTTTTGGCTGATGGGAAACGCTTCTGTAGAAGTACATTTTGCCTTGTTGAGACAATTCTTTATTTTTGTGTCTATCGTTGTGACTCCAGTAGTTCTTGGAAAGTGTATTTCTAACGGTGGGGATTAATTTGTCCTGACTCTCTTCCCCTCCTTAGCCTCTGTAAGACTCGATTTTCCATAGCTGTTATGTACCAGCTCTTTGCTTACAAAGCCTCTGGGCAACCCAGCTTAAGGAAAGTGAGTCAGCCCCAAGCGTTCAGCTGTGGTGAAGATGGTTCACAGAAAATCCTATGTTATAATCTTCATGACAATCTTGGGAGACGAGACTCTACAATGTCATCCTTCCCACATGAAACCTCAGAAGTCACCTTGCTTTCTGGCACCTGGCTACGTTCAGACTCAAGTGTTCCTGGGAGCTGAGTGGTTTAAATAAACTGTTTACAGTATCCACAAGTCTCAGTTTTTCCCAGAGAGCTCCAATTTAAGCCTGTGCTCTTTCCTGTCAAGTACCTTGGCCTAGAATATTACAATCATCACCACAATTTATACCATAGGTTTACCAGTTGACACTCACTAATGCCAATGAATATCTTCAACTTTGCAGCTGAATCTCAGGTCAGGACCACTCACCTGAACCAGCCTTCCTCCCTCTGCCCCAAATGATGGAGGTTTCCAAGTGAAACTCTCACTTGAGCAGAGGCCTGTGCAGAGGATTCCGTTTCCCAAGACTGAAAACCCAAACAAGTTCATCCCTGTCTGTTCACCAAGCTCCATTTGTCACACTGTGAAGTCCCAGCCTGGGGACTCAAGGAGTCTGAGCAACCACTGTGGGTCCTGACAGGAAGATGGTTGCTCTGCTGGCTTTACATTTCCCCACGGCCTCCCATCCCTCCTGCTTCCTTCTCAGAGACATAGGATTGAGATGGATTGCACCTGTTTATTGGCTAAGGTTTCAAGTGAGAGCTAGATGGAGGCCAGGTAGAAGTGATTAATTCTCAGTTTCAAGAGAGATAAGGGAAGCTCTCTCTCTCTCCCTCCCTCCCTCTTCCCTCCTTCCCTCACTCTCTCTCCCTCCCTCTTTACCTCCTTCCTTCCTTCCTCCACGAGACTACATGTGAAGCATCTTCCAAGACACTGCCAAGTGCTCAGCTCAGTTCCTTCCACAGCTCTGCTCTCTGCCAGTTCGGCTCTGACCAGAGCAATGGGGGAAAAAGGCCTTTTCCTTCTTGTATGTCTCTGAGGCTTATGTATTTCAATGTGTCAGCACAGGGGGTTCAAGGGCAGGGCCCCTTCCTCTTCCCTCTCACTGCACAAACGCTTGTAGCAGAGGTGACAGTACCAGTACTGAAAAGCAAAAGAGTGTGTGGCCAGAATGCCTGTCTGTGAGTTCCAGCCCTCCTGCTGCTAACATGGCTCTCCATTTCCTCATCAGTAAAGTGTGTGTGTATGTGGCGGGAAATAACAGTACCCTGTCCAAAGATGATAAAGGGTACAGTTTATACAGTACATTCTGTTGCACTGTGTTAACACACATTTTTCATTGTCATTCATCGTGGCAGGTTTGTAAGGAAAATGAATGTGGCCACGGGTGTCTGAGTGATAGGAGGAGGGAGCTGCATCAACTTAGATGGTGCGTGCCACACCTGAACTTGGCTTCCTGAGCTATGGCATGCAGTCCTGGGGTTTCCAAAATCCTTCATGTGCATCAAGAGAAGTGCAAAATCCAGCTTCGGTGCAGTGTGTTCTAGACTGTAAATGCTGACTGGAAATCAAAACACATGAAATGGTGGGCTGGACTAAACAGAGTGTGGGAGATCTGGATGTAGCCTGGGGACGGAGGGGCACAGGCTTTCCTCAGTGACTGCACCCCGTTACCATGGTGACTGCACCCCGTTACCATGGTGGGTGAGATCAGAGGGCTGCAGCCCCCAAAGGTATGGCAGTGTGGGACTGGTTTTTATTGTGTCCAAAGTAGGATTTGATGATGCAAAGGGAAGGCAGATACAGAGGCTGGCACCTGAGACTTAGATGCTCACTGTGGTAAGCTGGCAATGTCCAGCATGGAGGACCTGGAGAGGAAGGGGCATCTCAGCACAGGAAGACTTCTCATTAAGGTGGGGTGGGAGGCCCAGTCCTTGTTAGGGGTGGCTATTTTAAATGATGTCAGTCAGTCTTTGAATCATGAGATCATCCTGCTCCCTGTCAACTAAGATCCTAGACTAAGATTCTGGACTCAGGAATCATGCTATCTACATGAAATCCTGGCCTCACCCCTTATTAGCTGTGTGACTTTGGGCAAGTTACTTCTTTGTGCCTCACTTGTAGCTGTAAAAATTTAATGGTGTCTGGGACTGGCCGTGGGTTTGAGGAGGCATGTCCTTAAGCCCAACTACTTAGGAGGCAGAGAAAGGAGGACTCTCTAAGGCTGGCTCAGGCAAAAACATGAGAGCCTAGCTCAAACTAAAGTAAAAGCAAAAAGGCTGGGAGTATAGCTCAAGTGCTGGAAACTTGCCTAGCAAGTACAAGGCCTTAATTTTTTTTATTTAATGCTTCTACTTTTATTTTTTTATTATCTTTAAGTAGGTGTACAAAGAAGTTACCATTTTACAAAACAGTATATGAGTGCAAAGTGTCTGACAATGTTGTCACCCATCTCTCTTAACCCATCCCTTCTCTCACTTTTTTTCTTTGAGATTAGGTGATTACATAAATTTCACATATTTCACAGTATTATGAAATAGTGATACTCAAGAGTCACAAACACATTTTAACTTTCACGAGGCAAATCGTCATTATCATGGTCTACACAGTTTGTGAATTCTATGAGCTTTGACAATACAAGTTATTTTTTCCACATCAGGTGATGTTTGCATTTCTTTCCTTTTGCTTAGTGTGGGCTGTTCCCACTTATCCTGTTCCTTCTCCTGGCTTCCCCCTGTTGTGTGCATATACCTACCATATATACAGATAAGAACATGGAGTCATTTAGCAATGATAGGACAAAATGGGTGGTTGTCTTTTGTTTCTTGAGTCCTGTTACTTATCACAAGGCCTTGATTTTAACTTCCCCCATCACTATCCCATTATTATAGCAAAAAGAGGGGGCAAAATGGTACCTACCTCATAAAAGACCAGCATAGTACCTAGGAAAGCAATTATCCAGGAGGCATTACGAGCAATTATTATTTAAACAAATAACAGGATTTATTCCTCAAAGATTTATTCCTCAGAGATTTATGAAGTACCCAATGACATTCTCATGCTTAAAAAATAGAACCATGGGAAATACTAGGATTTTGAGGAGAGTTCTTGCCTCTTATTTGCTAGAAAATCCCCAACATGGAACACATGATCAAATGTGAGATGGAAGGCCAATAAATCTTCACTGAGTAACAGGATCAACCTTCAGGAAACCAAAAATCAAGGATGAGAGACTAGACCTAAATGTGTAAAATGTCATCGGGGAGAGGAGAGGTTAGGGTGGGAGGAATGGGAGAAAATAATAAAGGTGTGCTATCAATC